CATATACAACTATGATCCCTCGATCTTGATGATGATATTACTAAAGATGAAGAGGAATCGCAATTACGTTTGTGTCGGACTCGTCATCCACCACGATACGGAACTGGTAGACATAGGCATTATTAGCTGTCATTTATTTCGTTTTTCAAAATTGAAATATTTGTACTAAATTATTTTATTTTGAGTTAATCAAAATATTTTTTGTTATGCAAACTATTTTATTATTTTGTACTAAACTATTTTATTTTGAGTTAATTAAGCAATTGCAGTTTATCGAATAATTTTTAGTTTTGCGAACTATTTTCCATTAGTCAATTCATCTTGGGAGTTATTTTTCTAATAAATTAATAAACATGTTTCAGTGAAAATCGCATCATACATCACGCGATATCTATAGTACTTTAGCAGAACCACGCATCTTGCAAAACGCGAGATACCATGAACTCGCACCCTGCAACCCGCGTTATTTGGAAATCGTGTCTTACAACCCGCGAGGTTCTTGAACGCCAATAAAGCAATCACAATTTAGTATTATTGGGTAAAAACTTAGCTAAAATGTCGAGGAGAGAAAGCCTTACTGCTTTGGTATCTTACGATGGTGAAATGATCGGTGATGCATCTCTCGGTGTCGTGTTTCAGCCCGTACACACTGTGACAATAACGCTACCAACGAAGTTAATGTATAACAAGGTGATGAAGAAAGTGAAGAAAATTGTCCTACATACTCGTGGTACAAAATTGTTACTCTTGAAGTATCGACTACTGACGTCGTTAGAACCATTAACGTACACAATATACATCGTTTAAGACAATGGTGATGTGCATATGATGGTCGATGCTTACTTGCAATAATTATTTGGATGGCTGATGGAGTTGTATCCATTGTTTTCTGATGCTGATGATGGTATCAGTGTGCCAAGTTGGAGACAAAGTTCGACTTTAATCCAATTGTTGACAGTTCGACGATAATTTTGAGAAACGACTTCAATTTGTTAAGCACACATTGTACACATAACGATTTGGGTGCATCATCGTCTTCAATGCCAAGGCATTCTTGCATTGCTAGATTCGAGTTTGACTTGAACATGCCACCAACGCAACAATCCACGTTTAACTCGTCCGAAGATTTCTCATCTGAATGATATTCAATGTATATCCCTTATGTGGATAACGTCGAACTTGGGGAATCTGTTTGTGAGGGGTCTCGTAATCGACGAACACCTGCAGCAACGACTAACTTTGATTTAAATAAGGCTGAACTATTCCACTTTGAAGTGGATCAGTTTGACGAAGAACCAATAAGGAAGCTCGGCTCCGATGGTGATGAGTTAGGCCCCTTCTGTGAAGAACCATAAAACATTGACATGCCACCAGAAGCAGAAGACAACGAAGAATACGACGCAACTACAATGATTCCATATGCTGCAATGCCTATTTTTTTATTACCAGCCACTATCACACTTTAAAACAATTGATATGGAAGTATTCAACGCTCCGGAATTTTTCTAATTCCCACACATTGAGCAATACAATCAACGTAGTGATGGTGATCTCTATGTTGGAATGGTTTTCAGGTTAATATAATGTTTTATTTTTTTATTATTTATTTTGATTTGTTTATTGGTAAGTTGATAATTTTATTTACTCTTTTTACAAATGAGTTTCAGGACAAAAGAACAAGTTGTGGCTGCAATCAATAACTACAACATACGTCGTTCCATCAAATCAACTGTAAAAAAATTGATGCAGATAAGTACATCGTTGAATGTCTCCATAAGAAGCATGAATATAATTGGATGGTTCGTGTATCACGGTTGAAGACGATGAACAACCTTTGGAAACTCATAAAATACGTCTAACCACATACATGCACCGTCAACATCCTAAATCAAGATCATCGTAACTTGGATGTACACGTGCTTTATGAAGCCTTCATTCCGTTGCTCAAATCAAATCCACGTGTTACGGTTGTGACCTGTATTGCTTCAGTTACATCGCTATACGAGTACACAATTGACTACCACAAAGCATAGTATGTAAGGTATCATGCCCAATAAAAATTGTTCATCCAATGGGAGGAATCATACAATGAATTGCGGTCATGGCTTAAATTGATGCAGAAACATATTTCAGGAACAATTGTGAAATTGGAAACAATCCCAACATATGAATATGATCGTGTTGTACAAGGTGTCTGCCAATTCTATCGGCTCTTTTGGACATTTCCACAATGCATTAATCCATTCTGACACTGCAAGTCGATTGTTCAAATCGACGACACTTGGTTATATGGTCAATACACTCAAATAATGTTATTAGTGGTTTCACAAGAAATCAACAGAAAAATTATTCCCATCACCTTCGCAATTGTCGAAAATGAAGATATCGACTCTTGGGAATTCTTCCTTACGAACTTACAAACATATGTTCTATTACATGTGATGCGGGATAGAGATGATGTGATTTGTCTTATTTTTTGCATAGGTGATGGTATCAAATACGCACTCCAGCATATGGGCCCGTCTTACGAACCCCCAATATTTATCACCGGTACTATATACGACATATTGCCGCAAACTATTTGCAGAAGTTCAAGAGTCAAGATGAGCGTCTAATGGTGCTTCAAATGGGTACATATTTTACCTTTTTCGGTTTACCATATCTTTATAAAAAATTATTTCATATTAATTGTTCCACTTTTTATTGATAGGTTACACAAAGTTCGTATGTAAGTTTGAGGACCTGATGTAGGAACTTAGACATGAATTTTGAGGGCTTCAACTACCTTGTTAGAATCCCAAAAGAGAAATTGTTTCGATCATTTAATGGGGATAGAAAGTACAGTCACATGAAAATGAACTTGGTTGAGGCAATAAATTCATCACTAAAGGGAGTGTGTCATTTGCCTATCACGTTTTTTGTCAAAGCAAGATATTATCGACTGACAACCCTTTTCTCAACCTTGGTAAGGTAAACAGTTGACTGGATGGCATGTGGCCACCAAATCCACCCAGACCTCCTTAGAAATTGCAAACATTACAACACCATTCTAACGCGATGAGTGCCATATACTTCTCTCGCGAAGTGTCATTATTCCGTGTATCAAAATTTGTGAGACCATTGGAAGGCATATAATACAACACATACGTAGTTAATTTACAAGAAAAAAATATGCGAGTACGGATTTTTCCAAACTTTCAAATACCTGTGTACGCACACCATTGCTGTTATTTCTACTGTTTGGATACCCTACATGAGATTCGTTGATTGAGTTTACTTACTTGAAACTATATTCAAGGTTTATGAATATGTATTCTCTCTCATTGGAAATGAATGAGATCTAGATAAGTTGATGATGAACCTACAATACGACCATATTATGCACTATAACGAAAAAAACGATCGTCCACGATCAACCTAGTTTTTTTGTGACGAGGATTTGGTCGAACATCCAGAAAGAATCAGACAACCGAAATTTTGCTCTATATGTAGGAATCCCGGACACACAAAGAACAAATGTCCCAATCGCTTAGGCACACGTATCAATTAAATGGGTTTTTTGCATTATTTCTTTTTTAATTAAGAACACATATTACTCATATTTACAAAACAGAAATAACACTCCAATATGTATATCAAACCATTTTTTCTTCTTTCTTCAAAAAACCATGATTTCTAACTATTTTCAATGTCATTTTTACACTGCTTAAAATGTCGTATATATGTTGATATTATAGTAACCTTAAAGATAAATTGTAACACTACACATTTATAATTAGATTTTTTTATAAAAAATTAGTTTCCCACCCGGAAATAGTATTCGAACAATGTTATGGACACTGAAGGGATGATAGAAAATATATTATCCTCGTGCTTTACATGCCGCGAGGTCTCCCATATATCTCGCGATATTTTAGATCATAAAGGCTATCTCACGCTTCGCAATACGCGAGGTAATTTTATCCAATTGTTTTATTAGCTTACCTGGAAAATACGCCCACGTCGGATGTATCTCAAGTGTTGGAGGGTACGAGGATTTAACACGCAGTTTGCAGGCTAGTAAATCATCTGATGTGGACGATTTAGGGTTATTCTTTCAAATAATTTCTAGATGATCATATCTTTTAAATAATTATATGTTTAAGGTTTTTAATATAAAATTACCTCAAAACCACTACTAAGCTAAAGTTTACTATAGTCATTAGCAGTAAAGTCACCATCATTTCATTTGACAAATAAAAACGCGTTTTCTTTCCTTCAATTAAAAATAATAATCAAAATGCTTAAATCATTAATCACAATATGTACTTAATGAGTTCAACGCTCGTGATTAGTTTAAATTCGATTTGGGTTGATTCGATCTTAATACTTTGATAAGTTGAGTCGAATAAAATTCAACCCGACTCAATAAATTCGCGAACAACTCATTAATTTTTTTATATAATTTTTTAGTAGTTATATCAAAAATTATTTTATTAAAAAATTACTAATTTACTAATAAATAATAAAAAAGATGATAAATTACTAACTTATTAATGTTCTAATAAATAACAAAAAAACTAAATTATTAATTAATATTTTACTATATCCAAAAATCAAATCTTATTTATTAGTTTAATGTGTTTGTGGATTATTACTTTAGTATTTAGAATTAGAAATTGTTGTATACACTCTTTTGATATTTTTTTTGAGTTAAATTTATTAATATATGTTTATATTAAGTTATATGTAATATAATAGATTTTACATGTAGTTAAGAAAATAAGGTTAAAATTTCGGGGAACTTAACGAGCTTAATGAGTAACGAGTTTTTTTAACGAGTACAAGTCAAGGAAATTTTTAACAAGCTTAATGAGCAACGAGTCGAGCAACAAATTTTTTTAACAAACACGAGTCGAACACTACCTAACTTGCGATCGACTCGCTTAATAAGCACCATAGTCAATAAAATGGTTAGCAGCAGTAACAGAAAGGGCCAAATAGGAATAGATATTAGTCTATTACCAGTAATCCTTGCAAGAACAAGATCCCTTACTAAAACGATGGAACCGATTCCGGTCTCGGACAACGATTTCCCGGTCGAACTTATCGGAAACATTTTTCATGAAACAATGACAATCATAACAAATTCGAAGATTCTTTATGACCCTTATGATCTTCCTATCCTTGAATCTAAGAAGCGCGAATGCAACGGCCAATTTCTCACTATGGTAGCTGAGGCTCTGCTCCTTCTCCTCGTCTTCGATGTCATGCAACACGTTGCTGGTATGGGGAGTGTAGCCTTCGGCTAGAAGATCATCGATTATCGAAATCAAGAATCGTTTGATTTCGTTGGATTTAGGATGCGAATCGTCTCCGGAAACAAACTCATAAACCATGTCCCCTGCACTGAGCAAGCTATAGCCAGGTTCCTTCCCAAGTTTCTTCTCCCTCATTGAGTTTCTCACATTTGCTTTCTCATCCCATCTACCAACTCGACCGTATGCATTCGATAAGAGCACGTAATCACCATCGTGATTAGGATGGAATTCGTAGATCTTCGCCCTTGCTTTCTCGGCCAACTTAAGCTCATCGTGTTTCACACAAGCTCCGAGCAAAGTCCTCCAAATGACTGCATTTGGCCTAGTAGGCATCGTATCGACGAATTCAAAAGCTTTGTCGAGCAACCCTGCACGACCGAGTAAATCAACCATACAACCGTAATGTTCAACTGTCGGTTCCATCCCGCAATCAGTCTTTATACTCTCGAAAACGCCCCATCCTTCCTCCACGAGTCCGCCATGACTACAGGCCACTAAAACACTGTTGAAAGTAAGATGATCAGGCTTCAAACCAGCTTCTTTCATCTCCCGAAACACTTCCAACGCCTCTTCGCCGTGCCCGTGAACGGCCAGCCCGTTGATCAGCACCGTCCAAGTCAAGATATTTTTCACGGCCATGCCATTGAAAATCTTTATGGAATCATCAACAGAGCCGCATCTGGAATACATATCAATCATCGCAGTACCCAATGACACGGTGCGATTCAACTGGGTTCTTGAAATATAAGCATCAACCCATTTGCCCAATTCCAAAGCTCCTAAGCTTGAAACCGCCGATATTACACTAAGCATGGTAACTTCATCGGGCTTAAGATTTCCCGCCAACTGCATTTCTTGAAACAAACCCAAAGCTTCATACCCAAGGTTATTATTTGCGAAACAAGAGATCATGCTAGACCAAGAAACCAAGTCTCTCTCTGGCATTTCATCGAACACGTGGAGTGCAGTAGCCACTGACCCAATCGAGCCGTAGAAACTAATCAAAGCGTTTTGTACATAAATATCGGAATCCAAACCCAGTTTGATAATGAGCCCGTGAGCATCGTGACCTACGTGGAGTCGGGCGCATGCTTTGAGGACGAAGGGGAAAGTGAAGTGATCCGGGGATACGCCGTCACGGCGCATGGTGGAAAAGAGTGAAACGGCGTGAGAAGGCGAGGAGTGGGCGTGGGCCCTGATGATGGTGTTGTAAGCGAAGGTATCCGGGGACGGAATGCGAGCGAAAACAGAGCGCGCATAGGGTAAGGATGCCGGGGCGGCGGCGGCGAAAGAAAGCAGGAGACGGCGGAGGGAGACGGGCTCGTTTCGGAGGCCGGTTTTGATGAGGCAAGCGTGGAACTTGTAAACATTATTCATAGATGGATTGGTGTAATCATTTATTGGGTCTCTCTTTGTAGATTCATTAGCTCAATTTTGAACGTCGATTGGCCTTGGCTAGTTTCGTGTTCATCGTTGAAGAGTTGGTGGTGATGCCTGCATGAGACGGCAAGCTTATAAATATATGTATAAATTATGTGTTTAGTACCTAAATTATTAAATTGATTCGTTTTAGTACTTATAATTTTGATTCGTTATATTTTTATGGGTAAACTATATCATTCATCACACAATTATCTTTTTACTCTTATTTTGGTTCTAAAGTTTAAAACTTTTTAATTTAACTACTCAACTTTCAAATTGCTCCTATTTTAATCACTCTAATTTATTTTATTAATAATTTTTGTGACATGACATTTTGTATTATTATTTTATTAATATATAATTAAAAAATTAAATTTGAAAGTTAGAGTGATTAAATTATGATTAATTTGAAAATTAAGTAGTTAAATTAAAAAATTAAATTTTAATGACCAAAATAGTAGTAAGAAGATAATTGAGTGATGAATGATACAATTTACCTATAAATTGGGTGCCACGTGCAAATTTCCCGTTAAGTTTTTAACGGTGATGTACTAAAACAAAACAAAAATTAAACGTTAGATATGATTTTAAAAAAATTAAAATTTAAATACTAAAATGAACCAAAATTAATAGATTATGTACTAAATGTGTAGTTTATCTTAAATATACCTAATGACAACTAACCTATCATTTAACGTCTACGTTGATGTTAGATTGATCGAAAGATTTACTTGGTGCTATATTAATATCATGGAAACTTAATTAGAATATTTTTAAATTTATGAACCAATATAGAAGATGAAGTGAAATTCTAGGACATATGGTGAATTTATCCCATAAAATGGTAAATAAAGAAAGAAATAAATGATAAATGGCATAATGATTAAATTAATCTCTAATATTTGCACAAATAGTCATTTTAGTACCTTCTATTTGTAGCATTTTAGCTCTTGATGTTTTAATTTTTGGTCAAAATAACTCATGTTAGATGAAAAATATTAGTTAACCAACAATCGACGTGATATTTTTACATGTGTTTAATTATTGATGTGACATATTATACCATCCAAAATAATGACATAACATATGTTTCGTAATCCTTAAATAATCACGTGACATATATCATATCACTTAAAGTGATGATATGATATGTTTCATGTTATCAATTAAAAACATGTAAAAATATCATGTTAGCAACATATCTTGATCGTTAATAAACTAATGATTTCAATTCAATATAAATTATTTTAATCAAAAATTAAAAGATTATAATATTTAATAATAAAAAAACAAAAGCTAAAGTAATTATTTATACAAATATTAAGAATAATTTTATCATTATACCTAATAACCTATTCCACATATCACTGAATTTTAGTGTCATTTTGAGCCATCAAAACGTTAGCCTCCACATTATCAAAGTAACAGAAATGATTGTTCTTGCCGTCACATTGTTTTAGAGGAACGACCAAATAATATGACGGTAAATTACACATTTAATATTTAAATCATTAATTTTGGTATGTTTTTGTGTTTAAATTTTTAATATTTTTTAAAATTATATTAAATTTTAGTTTTTATTTCATTTTAGTACTCATGGTTAAAAATTTTAGTTTTTGTTTTATTTTAGTATCTTGTTCAAAATTTAACGTTAAATTTAAAAAAAAAAATTGAAAGTTTGGATATTAAAAGATCAAAATTGATAGATTAAATATTAAACGTGTTAAGTGTTTAGTCGTAGAGTTCTAAAATGAAATGAAAACTAAACGTTAGGTATGGTTTCAAAAAAATAAAAGTACTAAAATAGACCAAAATTGATAGTTTAGATGTTAAATACATAATTTACCTGCAATATAATTGAAATTTGAACTAAATTTCAATGTTATGATTGATAGAGTTTAAAGTGAAGTGATAAATTCGATACAAACACTAAAAATCGGGATACTTGGAGTAATTTATTCAAATAAATAAGATTTAATAAAATATAAATGTTTAAATTATGTCTCAAAAAACCTTTTGGTGTTTAAATAATATTTTACTAAAAATATGTTATAATGTTTTCCCAGTTATATTTTTAGGTATCTACAATTATATTTTTTATTTTTAATAATAAAAATATTATTTTTAAAAAATTAAAAACTTAATTTATTTATAAAAATCTAAATTTTTACTAAAGTTATAAAAAATCATACAAAACTAAAATTTCTCATTTAAACCCAATTACTAATCGTTGGTGGTTATCTTCGACCGTCATTGTCATCGTCGAATGGTTGGATTTTGATCAAAATTGCATGGTAATTCGAATGGTGGCGGCAATGTGGCTTATGGACGTCGGAATCGACGAAGAACGACGACAGTGGTTTAAAATCCGATAAACCTTTGAACGTTGCTCCACAACAAACAGTGACAGATCATGACAAAGGGTCAGCGAGGTTTGATCAGGGATACGCTGGTGCTAATGACGATGTCAGTGATAGTCTCGACTAGCTGGCTGACGACTATGAAAGAGAAATAAGAAAGGGAAAAAGGAGAAGGTGAGAGAGACGAGGGAGCATGGGTGTTGTTTTAATTGTTTTTGATATTGAAAACATTAAACATCTATTTTTAGCGAAAATTCTTTAAACAGTGTTTTGAGTAGGGGTGTGCAGATCCGGGTACCCGAACGGATTTTCGGGTACCCGAAACATCCGGGTCAGTGATTTTTCGGCCCGTGACCCGATCCGGATATTCTCGGGTACCCGGATTTTTCGGCTACCCATATGTCGGGTACCCGAATACCCGGATTTTTTTTCCAAATTATTAAATAAAACAAAAACAAAAAAATTATTAAACCATCCAAGTACATATAAATAAACTCAACAGACCTTCAAATTGATAATTTTAATGAATGCAGTCAATCAAACATGCTTTACTTCAAATCACTGATGATTTCTTAGAAGATTGGAGTAAAACAAAAACAAATCGACGTTGAGATTATGAAAATATTAAGTAAGTGAATAAATTACACTCAATATCGTTTCAGGAGAGAAACTGTTTTGTAAGATTCTTCGTTGATGTAATGTAAGAAAATGAAATAATGTTACTAAACGAATCAAATTCGTCGTGTAACCAAGGAAATATGATGTTAAGGCGCACTAGAAGTTGAAGATCTGAATTTAATATCCATTACATGATGTTAAAATTTCCTAATTATACAAACCACATAATTCCAACATAGCAAGAAAAAAAAACGAATTTACCGCGCTGCGGATGAACAATATCATACCAGGAGTACAAGAAAGTTTTAGAAGACAACCAAAGTTCAAACTTAGGTTGACTAAATAAACTACAACGGATTTTTGCTATTCAACTCATTCTCTTCATTCTTCTCAATAATGGTCAATATTGTTTTAGAAATAACTTGGAATCCAAAATCTTTTAGAAACTTCAGATCCTTCGGAAGTATTTAAATTCAGTCATGCAAATAAACATGAAAAAACATATCCGAGTAAGCCATTTTTAGTTAATATATAAAAAAAAACTTAACCGGGTATTCGGGTAACCGGGTACCCGGAAAATCAAATTTTCTGACACGGGCCCGACCCGGGCGGGTAATTTTTTTATGAAAATTACCCGGTTTTTTATGATCCGGGTTGGCAGGTCGGGTCAACCAGGTTGGTTTCATTGTGGGACAACATCACCCATCTGTTGCTCTTCGCCGAAATCTACTACTTCACAAGTTTTGAGGTTTCGTTTTCTTTTTTAACTTCCGTAGTGTTGTTTGCTTACTTCAATTTACTTTATTTCTGTTTAAAATTTTACTTGTGTTTGAAAATTTATCGTGACCCCATCTTGTAGTTCTGATTTTTTGGTTAATTTCTTCCCAACATCTTTGTTGTTGGATCTTTTTCACGTCAACTGCTTCAGGGTAGTTTGATATGGGAATTGACTTCGATTCCTTGTTGTTGGATAGAAAATTTTACAGCTTTCTTATTGCTTGGGTGATTTATTCTTATTAGCTATTTTGTTTATCAGAGGCGCTTTGATTTTCTGTGAAGAATTATAAGTTGAGTTAGGTTTTTGAATATTCAAGCTTTATTGGGAAAATTTGTGAGAAGTTGCTACATAGAATTCAGTCGTGTTTTGTTTTTAAAGGGTTCTTTTAGCAATTAATTTTATTCATAAATATTTAACCCGCATAATAATAAAAATCAATATTATTATATTTCCTTCTCTTTTAACAATAGGCTTTTAGCAATATTTAATAACAATAGTATTATATAAATTAAAACCCTATTTAGTAACCAACTAAGCTTCTTAGTACCCTCAATTCTCTAGCGTTTTATTGGTGCATCTTTTGTCTTCTTTGGATTCCTTTTTCATAGTTCCTCATAGCTTCGACTATAGATGATTACTTGAGGTCATATCATTCTTTTAGAGCCCATAGGGTGTATAGGGGGAGGGCTCGACAGAGTGGTGTCAAGGAGACTAGACTTAGAGTTTGTACGTTGAATGTAGGCACATTAAATGCTAGGCTACTGGAGCTAACCGACGTACTAAGTAATAGGAAAATAGATTTTACATATATTCAAGAGACTAGGTGGAAAGGGGCTTGCACAGAGAGTGTAATGGGTACAAGTTGTGGTATTCAGGCGTAGATAATGCTAGAAATAGGGTGGGTATCTTGGTATCCTTTAGGCTCAAGGAAAATGTAGTTGAAGTTTGTAGATACCATGATAGGATCATGATGATTAAGGTTATTATAGATGCGAAAGTGGTGAATGTTCTTTCAGTGTACGCCCCACACGTTGGCCTAGGGGAGGGGGAGAAACGTTGCTTCTGGGACTCGTTAGATGATGTACTTAGGAGCATTCCAAAGGACCAAAGAGTTTTCATAGGGGGAGACTTCAATGGTCATATAGGTAGTGCAATTGACGGGTATGACGGTGTTCATGGGGGTTTCGATTTTGGTAGTAGGAACGAGGAAGGG